TTTGGCTTGTCAAAATAGTCACACTTCCATATATCTCTGAATTGATCAGAATGAGCCACTAATCCAGCCTTCTCAACTGGTACAATGTGAAGCATGACATTTCTTTCTACTCTTTTTTACTGAACATAAGCATAAGTTTGTTCTAATGAAGGAAATTGATCCTTTACCAAGTACTTGGACCCTTATTTGATCATATTCAGTGTTCCGACCAGTTAAAAAAATATAAATTCACTCTTTTTCTAATAATTTCTGAAATTTGACTGCATCTGCGGGACACTTTACTTGAAAATCTTGATAGTAATCTAACTTTTGTCATAATCCATTCAATTCAGAAAAATACTGAGAAATAGTCATATTTTCTTACTTTGTGCCATGAACTTTATTCCGAAGTTCATAAATCTGAACGTCATTACCAATCTGTGAATATGCAAGAGATGTTACATTTCATATTTTTTTGATAGTGTTAAACAACAGATATGTTCTGACAATATAAGATTGCATGGAATTTATGAGTCATGACATTACCAATGAATTATCATATTCTTATCTATTATATTTTAAACTATCAACATTTGGTTTCTTCACCTCACCAGTAATGTAACCCTGCAATCCTTTAAATTTGATGAACAATAAATAAGATCTCAACCAAGTAAGATAATTAATTCTATCAAGTTTTACGGCACTGATTTGTAATGAAGAGTTATCAAAACTAGTAACACTCATCTTTTTTGCTTTTGTCATCTTAGAATACTAAAAATAAAAAGGAAAAATACCCAATAATGAAAAATGGACCTCCTATCTGAACCAAGGAGCCAAAAAAGATCTAAAAAAAATCGAAAAAAGGACAAAAGAACCGAAACCATATTTGGCTCGACTCGGCTCGGATCGACTCAACACCAGCTCGGATGCGGACAGCTCTACTTAGGCGCGGACAGACCAGGTTGGAGTAGTCTGCGCGCGGAATGGCCATACCAGACATCCCGTGTGCGGAAAAGTGAACTGACGTGAGGGAGGGGCTCTGTCTGGTCAATGCAGCGCGACTCAGTGCGCGACCAAAGCAGCATGGTGTGCAGGAGGATCAGTCGACTCGTTTCCAAACGCGAATCAGCTGGATCGAAGCAGCAGAGGGCAGAACGATAGATCTTCCAAACACACGCAGCCGCGTAAAAAAAAGGTCGAATAATCGCAATCAAGACAGATTTTGTGCGGAAAGGAACCAGATTTGTCTCAATCGGATTTTTTTGGCGGTATTCCACTGTTTTTTGGGCTGAATGGGATGAAGCCGGCGGCGGGTGTGGCTCACGCACCTCTGCTGCCAGCGGTGCGTGTGGCAAATGTGTGCGGAAACTGTGACTGTTCTGGCCGGGGTTGAGCAGCAACTCCGTATGGGAGATGTTGGGTTTGGTTTCTTTGGTAGTTGAATACCAACTTTGGCTTATTTTGCTTATTTTAGAATTTTGAAAAACCTTAAAATAGTCTTTCCTTTAACTCTGATACCATGAAGTTTCTGAAGAAAATAAACTTTTAATTTTTATTTCTTATTTCTTGTGTTTACATTTAGAAAATATATATATATATATATAATGGTTATTTTTATTCTAATTAAACTCTAATTATAAAATAAAATTATTTTATTAGAATTCTAACTAATATAGTATTTTACTTAACATGAAATCCGTATCAACACAGTAGTAATAATCATTACACCTTTGGCTTTTCTTGAATGAACTTCATTATCCTCTGTCAATGTTTCTTCATTTCTCCCCTTCTGTTCTAAATAGTCTATTAATTTGTATGACCAATGCAGAACTTTTTTACTGATTTCTCTTATTCCAATACATTTCAGTTGATCATCGTGATAAGTTATAAACACATTAAACAAAAAATTAATATTCTCTGTAAGCCAAGTTCTATCAATTAAGAGTAGCAGGACAAGACCCCCAAAACTGTGAACCAGAACATTTACACATATGAACAAAGAATAAGCACAGGTGAAGATATACCCCCACAACAATCAGCAGAGATATGTTGTCCATATTGAATTTAGAAACCAACCTTGTTAAGAAAAACTCTTAAGAGAAGATTTAACCCATAATATTAACATACTTACATGAATATCAATGACATTAAAGGCTTTCTCCAATGTTCTTTTCCTCATACAGTCCATCTCAGAGACTTGTTTTGCAAGCTGCAAAAAAGTATTGAGACTTCAGCATGTGCATCTACTATTTACTTGTGAAGATAAGAAAGAGCCATACAAATGCCTACATATGATGGTACTAAATAAAAGAGTATTTTCATAACTAAAATGCAGCATTAAGGATGAAACAAACTGTACCTGACTTTTGAAGCTGTCATATACAACTGCAAGGATCAAGTTAGTGACGAAGTAAACCCCCAACAGCACGTAGAGAACAAAAAACAGGCAATACCAACGTGAAGCCCTTTAATAGATAATTAAAATTTGTTAAACATAGTGAGAAAAAAGGTTCCATAAAGTTTAAGGAGCATCAATGAAGAAGTAACTAACTAAAAATTAATAAAGAAAATAACTTATTTGAAGCTATAGAAGGAGTGGATAAAAAACGATACATGAAATAATATAATTGGGAAGAATGACCTGGAGGAGAAAACAATTGAGGCTAATACCATTTGCAATTTCTTGGTTTTATGGAAAGAAAGAAATAGGAGCAATATCGTTTCAGACCCTGAGTTTTTTTGTAATGGGTCAACTTTTATACTCCATGGATGATTTCGGTGATTTTATAGATATCATGATTGATCTGTAGATACTTTTGTATATGAATTTGCACCCCTTTGGTGCTTATAATTAATGGAAATTTATAATTTTCATTTCAAAACAAAAATGATTGGGAAGAATGACTAAGCGAATACACTGGACAGAATGACCAAGTGCAGCTATAACTTCTAAAAGAAAGTTAAGGCACCACTAGAATGGATAAATAACTGACTGCAAATGTAACTTCTAAACAAACGTTAATGCACCACTGTAACTCATAAATATCGGAACAAAGAACAATCCAGTGAATATTATCACTTGCTTCGAAGACAAAATAGGGACAAGTTGAGATCCTAGAAATAACAAGAATCACTCTGGAGATATCTGAAGCGCTGCTGACAACTCTCACAAAAAGTACAGAAATTCAAGTCACCTTCAATCATAGAAAGTACAGAATTTTCATTACTTTTGGACACAAAATATATCTAGAAAGAATCCTCTTCTAGGACACCTTTTAAGTTCACAGGCATGATAGTTATATCCTGCTCCTGGAGTGTCATATCATCGTGCTGATTTGATGAACCAACAAATCATAGTATCATGGGTTCCACAATTTTAAAATCAAGTCAGTGTGTCTTAATGCAACCTACTGACTATGAGTTCCTGATAGTGCGACATACTTTCATTTTC